ATAAAGGTTCTAAACTCTCTTATCTGCTGCCATGAAACATCACCAAACGTGTGGATGTTGCTTTCCACTCTTCCCTCTGCTCTAGGTACAGGTGTAAAATTAAACTATGTAGCAGAGGCTCAGAAGACCAAGAGTAATTTTATTTGATTACAGAACAGGATGGTGTATGTCCTGTCCTTGTAGTACCTGTCCCGCAGTCCCATGCACTAAGTTGCAGCAAAGATGTGTCTGTCCCAGGAACTAAGCTGCTGTTCCGCCCCAGCCTGAGCTCCCCTATATCTGAGTATGCTTGGCAAGCAGGGCTGGCCCATTTACCCTTCCCAATGTGCTCCAAATCCACTGGGAATGAAAACAACACCCCACAGGTGCATCATGCACATAAATCATCATTCCCTAAGAAGCAAAGATTGACACCTGGAAAGCCAGTACTGACAGCACTGGCTTTAAAGCCTAGCRTATGACTAAAATTAGATGCCTTATTAGTCAGGAATTCTTAATTTTAGACACACACACCTACAAAATGTATTTCAGTTTTTGAAATGCTCCATATCTGCATCTTTCATTGACTTTAGAGGATTCGTGGGAGTTTAGCACTTCTGAAATCAGGTTGCATTTAGGTCCTAAACTGCTGCCCTTCAACTGGCAGCCAGGTTTGAGGTATCTGGTCCCTGAGCACACAGCCCAGTTTCAGAAATCAGTTAAGTTCACAGATATTATCCTGTTTCAGGAGGTTATGGGACTCCTGGTTTCTTACTGTGCTCATTACAAAATGCCAATAGTATTTTTGTCACTATGACTCTAAGATATATAACCTAAAAAGTTTAGCCACAGCACACACCTTTTTAAAACAACATAGAAATGCAAGCTAAGAATTGCATATGGATTGGTGCTCTAGGGCCCTGTGAGACCAATTCGGTAGCATAAAATCGTGGTGAACAGTTATTAGGAGTGAATGAGTATTTCTGTACAACGAAGCAAACTGACTCAAGGATGGAGAGACACTCTGTGATTTGAGATACTAACTGCAAAGGACAAAACTAGAATAGCATTTTAAGCTTTCAATAAGCATTTTTTAAATGAGATAGATCAATGASAGATTTCCTTCAAAATGAACTAATATTTAAAAAACAGACTGAAAATATAATTGCAAATTATGATCACTACTAGGAGCTGGACACTGCCGTTACAGATAGAAAACTACAGATTTTCTATCTACAGATAGAAAAATGTTCATTTCTTTGTTATTGATAAGCTACAGATTTAGAAAATATAGATATCAACTGACCATAGTACAAAAAAGCAGAGATGGAAGATAAATTTTGCAAAACAATTTAACTCTAACCATAAACACTGATTCTAAAAGCAATGCTGTAAAATAAAATTGGCCTCGCTTTCTTTTGGAAATACACATAGTATTGAGATTGCATAATTTGTGAGATAAAAACCCTAGATTAGTTTATTATTCACTTGGGAAAGCCGTATCAGTTCATGGTCTTTCCAAGTTAAGAAAGGAACTTCCCTCACTGACTGAGGGTTACAAAGAATAAATTTCCTTTTCTGTTCTATGCAGCCAAAATCAATCTGGATCCCATAGTCTATTCCACTCATTTCTGCTGCTAGGAAGAAGACACTGAGTTATAGGGGCATGTACAGTCACAAATGATCCACGTTTTAGTAGCGTTCCTAAATTCAGATTTCCTTCTTTTAATAGCCTTTGTTTCTATACTTCTTGCCAASGTTAGTTAGCCTTTCATTCCCCTGTCTGGCAAGAGTTTTTGGCGGAAGATTGTTCACAAAAAAAAATMTGGACACTGGTCAGCTCGAAGAACCCTTTGAACATTCCTTTATCAGCTGAACAGGAATAATTACAAATATCTATTATTTAGACAGTCTTTTTATTCAAAAGTCCCGTACGACTTTTTAGCGAGCAGAGATCGTTTCACCTATCAGTGAAAGGAGATGTTGTGATAGCTCTAACAACATGTTACTCCATATCCATGCACAAGATGAGGAATATTCATCTCCATATCCATGCACAAGATGGGGAATATTCATCTCACGAAGGTACAAAAGTCATGAAAGAGCCTGTAGCTGCAAAGCAACATCTGCAACAGTCCTGATGAACTCACAGTGCGATGGCTGTGCTGGACTCACCAAAGGGGGAGCATCACCACTAGGCATGGGGGCTCCCTTTATTACCAGATCTGCAGGTTTGGATATGGTTAAGTCATGTTTTGCATGGCTGACACAAGAGCAAAGAGTCTGCAGAAGTGGTTTGAAGAACATTACTTGCTGAGTTGCTATTGCCCGTTCTTCATGAAAACAGATAGTAACAGGTGAGCTAATAAGCAGACAACACGTGATTCCCTTACAAATATTGTGCAAAATAAAGAGGAAAAAGTGCCAGAGGTGGATGGAGTGCTGAAAATGTATCTGTCACAAGCCTGGCTAATACTGCAGGCGTGTGGGAGGCGGCAGCCCYGCAGGGCCGGCTGGGCCCCGACAGGCAGGGCCGCCCCGGCTGCCCTGGTGGCCACAGGGGCCTGCAGCGCCCAGTGCCTGTGCTCCCAAGGGCCGGCCCTTTGCCCTGTCCCTGTGCTCCCAAGGGCGGGCCCTTTGCCCCCAGTGCCTGTGCTCCCAAGGGCTGGCCCTTTGCCCCCAGTGCCTGTGCTCCCAAGGGCTGGCCCTTTGTCCCCAGTCCCTGTGCTCCCAAGGGCTGGCCCTTTGTCCCCAGTCCCTGTGCTCCCAAGGGCCGGCCCTTTGCCCCCAGTCCCTGTGCTCCCAAGGGCCGGCCCTTTGCCCCCAGTGCCTGTGCTCCCAAGGGCCGGCCCTTTGTCCCCAGTCCCTGTGCTCCCAAGGGCCGGCCCTTTGCCCCCAGTCCCGCTGCCTGGGCAGCGCTTTGCTCCCGAGGGCGTCGCTGAGGAGCCGGAGCGGCGTGAGCGGAGGCTCTGCCCAGACCAGGTCGCGGGAGCAGGCGGAACGGGCCTGCGGTGGAGGGAAAGTGACACCCTGCAGACACTGTGCAAGGGGTTCCCAGCGCTATGGAGGCTCAAAGACTTCCTCATAGTCCTGATAAAACATGTAAGAGACATTTGTTTCTTCCCCAGTAACCTCAAATACAACATAACACCAGCAAAATCCTGTCATTTCCTGGCATTCCCACCCCGTACAGAAACCTGTCCCTCTGTTGCTCCCTGAGCACCCTCTGGAGCAGGTCACCTCCTGCTGYCGCACACAGCGGCACTGAGCAAGGCCAGGGCAGGATCTGCGCCCGCGCCCCTCGCGGGCTCGGCAGCCAAGCCCAACGTGCAAACCCGGCCCCAGCAAGAGCACTGCCAGGCACCAGCGCCTCCCAGCAAGGCGCCCTAAGCCAGGCCCTACTGTCCTGTGCTGCAACAGGATTGCTCCTCCCCACTGGGATGGTCCATGGAAGGGGGCGACCCCAGGAGGGAGCCTCTTGGAGCCGGCAGTGCCAGGGAGGCAGCATCGCCCGGGGCTGGGACGCTCCCTGCTGCGCAGCCTGTCACCCCAACCATGTTCCCTACAGGCTGCTGCTTCCAGCAACGCGAATCCTTTAATGTGGCCACTCTGGGGAATCCAAAAGCACACAGTCATCTCAGATGACTTCATCCAAAGTGTACTGAAGCCAAAAGAAACAATCCTATTTTAAGGGAGGGAAAAAATAAATAAATCGGGAGGCCAGAGGAAGTTCTTTAAGGTGGGAACAAAAAAAAGAAAGATACCTCAGTTATCAAGTTCAGTCCTTTGCAGATCTGCACAGCAGTTTAATGGATGCTCAGTATAGCAGACTTCACCAAACATTCACTTTATAGACACAGACTAATAAAACTCCAAGTTTTGTAGAGAAACTGTACAGATCASTGCAAAAGTTTTCTGTATAGAAGCTTTCTTTAAAGTAGATCATAAACAGTGCAAAATTAGATAGTGTGACAGTGGCTAGCCATTGTTATATAATCTAGTGTTAGGAAACTACATTTAAACATATACTAAAATAACATTATAGATGTATGTTTAGCACTGAAAAACAAAAACATTACAGTGGTGCTATCAGATGTCTGACTTGCCCTGCTTGTGCATATGAATCACAGCACATGCACCTATTTCCACAGTCATCTATCCCATTTTTTAAAGAACTTTCTGAACCTTAGACCTTGTAAGTTGCTTATGAATGACTTCTTTATAATACATATAGACTAGCTGATAAAAGCATTCAAGGTTGTAGAAAAAACATGTTTAAGAAGAGTTAAGAAGCACTGTAAGTGGCGACACAAGATCTATTCTAATAGCTATTTTATAAGAAATGTAATGAACACAYGAGATGAACAGCACAAGAAGTCTAAATAGTTCATAAGAGTGATTTTTGAGGCCTTAAATGCGCTGTTATAATAGGATGGGTTTTAATGGTGTGACTTAGGAGGCACTGCCACAGGCCCACCCTACATCCTCTCTCACCCAKTCTCGCCACTGCCATCTTGCCCAACTTGGCTGGCAAGCAGAAAACTCGAGCAGAAACACGAGACTCAGCAGCACTTTAACCAGCTCCGGTTGCTTCCAGTTCTAATACGTGTCTGATGAATATTTAGGCTGCTGAGCCTTTTCAGGGACTTTTCCTTTCTTGGTGGAATGGCTGCAACTCAACCGAGAAAAATTTCGAAAGTGCAGCTGATTTGAAAAGGCAAAGCAGATAAGCAGTCTCACCATGGAGAATTCTARCAGACACCAGAGCAGCTGGGAAACAAACACTCAACATTAGCATGGCAGTGTTGCCATTAAAAGGTTTCCCGTCATTTGTTTTTCTTTATAAAGTAATACCTAAATACTGAAGACTAAGATTTTAAATTTAGCTCCTAATTTAATATGCAATTACTGCTGCGCTGATGGTGTTTTAATGGCAATATATTTTTATTGGTGACTTCAAATGAACCTCGTCTGATCACCTTAACCCTTCTTTCATCATGCTTTAGCTAATGACTCATTACCTGTAGTCACACCAGGGACATCTGTAAGGCTTTTCTCCAGTATGGACACGCTTATGTCGTGTCAGATGCGACTGTGTTGTGGAAGCGAAGTTACACTCATCACATTTGAACGGTTTCTCTCCTAGAAGAGGACAAGAGAAGATATGCATTATCAGTTCTCATCAACAGAAAAGGAAGATAAGCCTGCATTTCTGGCAAACCCCTTGAGCTAGATTTTTGTCCATATATATCTCAAAAGCAAATACAGAATACATTTCCAAATACAAGGTATTAATTACAAAGCATTGTGCTCACTATGCTCACTTCAGCAGCCAGTGTGTCCCTCCTGGTGTTATTGCAGCAAAAAGTGAGGAGCAGGATCTGCAATGAATCAGGGTAAGCAGGGTGTTGGGACCACATGCCATGAGATTGTCTTCACCAGCAGGAGACAGGCATTCCTCGCATCTGGAATACCCTCTGGCTTCTATTGCAGCTGTGCCCATGTACAGAGAAACGTTCTTCAAGACAGAAGGTAAGAAATCAAGCTGGGACCTGTGTTCAGCACCTGCTCTGAAATGAACATCTCTGGGAGAAGGCTGAACGTCTTTGGCACTGTGCTGGGTTTTTTTGTTTGTTTGTTTTTGTCTCTGCCCCTGTATTTTAGACCTTGGAGTTGTAATAGAATAAGCATAAACAGACTGAGAGAAAAAAACAGAACTCCTCCATCCTCCTTCTCTTGCTTGCTGTCCTTCCGAACAGTGGCTCAGTTTCTGGGCAAAGACTCGAAAGGTTCATGAAAAAACAAGAAATCAACTAACCTAAGACAACAGCATTGCCAGAGGACTAAAATTCAGTCTCTGATAAATATGGGAGTGCACTGTAATTACCAACACCAGAGGTTTATCTTTGTAGCCAAAAGACTGAAGGCAGCTCCTAACTTCTGGAGCCTYAGAAGCATTTTGGGGGCCTTCAGAAGTACTTGTAGTCTAGGCACTACACAAGAAATCAACCTCCCTAACTTAAACCTGAATAAAACTGTTAGGGACAGATGCCTACTTTGTACAGTGTGCAGATAGCCATTCTCAAACTAAGGTCCAAGTCCCTCAGCAGGTATAACCAGTGGATTTTCAGACTGCCAGCAAAAGACACATCACTGGAAGACAATACTAGCAAAGGACCATTCCCAAGGGATCAGGCCTCCAAGACTGATTTTTCAAACTTCCTCAAAACATGAGACATTCGAGACTTCAAAAACACATTGCCAGATTTCTGAGAAGACATAGAAATCTGCATTTTTCAATTGTTGAGATTGATTTCTTCTTCCCTTCCAAGAGAAAACTATGAAAACGGGTCCTTAGATCTGAAAAGTCTGGATGGAAGAGCAATAGAGTAGCTGCTGAAAGCTCCATAAAGAGTTGGAATAATTGCTTTTAGCAGCTGCTGGAGAGAATTTCAGCTACTGTTTTTCATTTATTGTTTCTCAGGACAAAGAAAGGTGAAGGGGCAGGCCTCAATGCAGAAGGCTCTATGCTGGACAAATTGAGACTGCGAGGAAGGATGTCTTTCCTTCCCCAAATGGGCTTTTCTTGTCAGACACTGGCGCTCTGCTCCGAAGAAACTGATTCTCCCAGCAGCCTGAGGGGTCCCGGCTTCCTCCTCAGCTAAACTCTCTGGGAGGCCATAGGCTCCATGGCAACACAACCTGCTCTTGAACCACAAATTTTCTCTGCCCGATTTATTTTATCCTGTAGTATTAAAGAAGACAGCAACACTTTCAAGCCTAAGTAGCAAGGCTGCAAGTATTTTAGATAACATACTRACTTATTTTAACTGCTCTCATTGAAAATGCACTAGGACTTCCTAAGCATCCCCCTCGCGAAGAAGCAAATCTGCCCCTCAGGTTGATTCTCAGGCTGCTGTTCGGCGSAGGCTTTACCAGGCAGGCTCTGCTGCTGCACCAGGGCGGGCCAGGGAGGCTGACACATCAGCGAGTGTCTGTGGAGGCCAGGAGGGTCCKGGAACCCCCTTGTGACCCGGGACAACCTGATATCCCTGCCCGCTGCAGGCGGAAGCCTCAGCCGAGGCGCCCTTGGCAGCTTCCCRCTCCCGCCGGGCGGCAGCAGCCCCGCACGCGGCACCCGGCAGCAAGGGCGGCCGCGCCGGCGCCGAGGCCAAACGCCTCCTGTCCTCCTGGAAAACTGCACATGAGGGAGGAAATAAAATTGAAAGAACACAGCTTGGTATTTAATTGGGTTGGATGTCATTGGTGGGGAGAAGATTATTCTAGGTGCAGCAGTGGTACTTTCACATTCTCTTTAATTTTTGTCTTTCTTAGCTCGAGGACAGAATCTTCTGTGCCAGCCTAATCTGCCTCCCCCCGGCCTGCCCCGAGACATCCCAGCCAAGGAGCTTCGACACCCTTTTCTGCTGCCTGCCCTGAGCCTTTTCGGCAGAATCAAGAGTCTGATCAACAGGAAATTGAAATAACATGAAATAAAGCAATAACGGCAGTATGTTTATAAAAAGCCCCACTACATTTACTAGGGCTAAAGAAAAGGTCCACCTATTTAAAGATTTATAGACGAAGATAAAAATACTGAAAATACTGTTTTGCTATCATAGAAAACTTCTCTGTCCCTCATCTAATTTAGTGAAAGCGAACCCCATAAAAACGTAAGATACATGGCCCAAAACGGTCAACAAACATGACATTGTTATTTAAAAGAAATGTTCTACATGTTCGAAAAGCAACCCCCTATCATTTTGTTTATATCATTTTGTTGCTTGTTTTCCACATAAGAGCTTCCCAACAAGCACGTTTCCTAACCAGAAGCTCACGAAAGAGGAAGTGATTCTGCTTTCTTAACAACAGCGCAAACAACATCTGAAAGGCATCAGCTGTCCGGGGCACCTGACATGGAAAATTTCCGTCCCAACAATCTGGAGTTGAGCAAAGCAGCTGAAAAAGGGTCAGATCATGGGGAGCGCTGGACTGTATAAAGGCTGTTATTAAGCCTGCAGCTTACCAGTGAGCTTCCTCCACCCTGCCCACTCTTTTCTTCTTAAAACATCATGACTAAAGCTTTCTTTTTCTTCAGCCTGTCTGGAAATGCCTCCTCCAAATTCTCCGCTGGCTTCTTTAGCATCTGTCTTAGCTTTTCTTCACAAATTACTGCTTTCTTTTTTCCTTTCTCCTTCCTTCTTCTCCTTGGTATTACCTCTTTCAATTTCTCTGTCTTTGAGGATAAGCTTTTCGGGACACAGAGCATGCTTTACTGTGATCATAAATTTCTGTGTACAGTTTATGTATTCAACATGTAATTTTTAAAGGAAAAATAAAATAATACAAACAACAATTATAAATCTGGGTGACAAATGCTGATTTGTGGGTGACAAAGTGATGGTTTTATTTACAATCATGACTGTCCAGGCAATTTTTACTTATAGCTTACTTATCGTGTATGTATGAATGTGCTACTGAGGACTCTGATACAAATGATGGAAGAAAAAATTAAATGGTGTCTTCCATTGGAAAGTCTTCAGGAATCAAACAGAATCTTAGCAAGATGGAAGAACTCTTACCCCAGGTGTCTCCATAGGGAGAGGTGCTGCTTTTGCTCCTATTYGTCTTTCATGGGATGCATTGAGCAGGACCAAAAGAATCCTACCATGCATTTTTGACCTTAGGAATGAGCAGACCACAAAACTTGTCTTTCTGCTTATATGTTACAGGACTCTTCTGATTTTCTAGCGTTTGTTAAGGCTGCTCCCTGGGGGCAGCTTACAGACTTCTTAAAGGAGCTTGAAATATTTTGAAGCAAATTCTATTTCCTTTTAGTCTGCTCCTCTTTTTTTGCATTTAAGACATACAAAAATAAGTAAACTCTAGATTTCTTGTAGATGCCATGTAGTTGCTATTTCACAATAAAATAGTTTGTATATTCAGATACAGGAATGAAATTCTTCTGCAAGACAATTCCTCTTAAGCAGGGAGAAAATTTTAAGATAGCCAAGGTTTCAGCAGCGTTTACAGTCAAAGGTTTGTTAGAATTAAGCTCCACACTCTGCTGCAAATATTTGTCTAAATAGAAATAATAATAATAAAAAAGCACATTTCTGTGGTATTACGAGGTATTATTATTTTTTCAAGCTGTGGTATGGAAGTTKAAAGGAAGAGGCTACATTATACATTAAATTCAATGCCAAATAATGTAACTACACATTAAAGTCAAAGTGCAGTTCACATGAGAAACAGAAACACAAAGTCACTCACTGGACTGGATAAAAACACATATATTATTAAATTTTCTTTATTACATTGAGTGATAAATGCCTTGAGAAGTGCAAGATTGAAATGAGTGAACAGAAGCAATCACACAAACAGCGGTCAGTATGATATAAGCTGTACAATAAGTACAGTAAGCTTCCAAAACTCATGAAAATATTTGAAAAAGACACATCTGCTTAAGTGTTTCTATAGGTTCATCGTGACTCTCCAGAACTGCTGTGAACAGTAAGTGTACTTACCCTCTAATGCTCTGCTACTGTCATGTATGTTCATTTTTTACTTTTACGATGCTCAGCAAGATCCTACCACAAGCAACATATGAGAAGCAAATGTAAACTGCTACTGTGTGTAATATGAGAATGAGGTTTGTGCAATTTACAGGACTACTCACTATTAACATAACAAAAGAAGTTTCACACAACAGAACGCAGGATGTGACTGATCAGCACTGTTGCAGCAAGCCAACGACTACAGCACTAACTGGAAGTTTACTGGAAAAAATGGATAGGAAGAGAAAATACCACAATGACAGACGGAAGACCAATAAAGGAAGAAAGCTGAATAACAATACGAAAAAAAAAAGAAAGAAAAATAAGAAGTGTCTTTATTGAGACCTTCTGATGGATAGGTTGAATTGTTAAGCTTAATAGTCATCAGTAACTCTTAAAGTAATTGCAATGCCAGAAATGGCAGTCGAGGCTCCTCCACCCCATGCAAGGACCGGCTCCTTTGCCCTTCAATCAGGAGTCTCTCACARGTGATAAGAGTCACCCATCATCTTGGACGGGAAAATGTTCTGCATCAGCCCCCTACACGGTCTGCATTACAGCACGGATTTAAACCTCTTAGAGCATTTTTGGTACCTATCCCTTTCAAACCTGATTGTAATTTGCTTTGGCATTCTGTTCATGGAAAACTGTGTCAACCACGGACAAAGCAAAAATATATATATATTGACACAAGAGGAGTGCATGCTGCTAAGAAGTGACRTAAAGTTGGGCACTGGATGAGAGCACAGGGGCACATACACAGGTGCAAAAACGCAGGCAAAGGTRGATTGTGTCATTCTCCTTGAAACAAATAGAAGAAGCAGATAATTTTTCTGCTAAAGAATCATCTCTGATTGTTTGTGCCACAGAGGCAGATAAATGCCAAAAAGATAGATCCCCCTGCCTCTGAGATACTGTCCTGTATAGTATAAAGTTAATAGCAAAGTAATAACGAGCCTCCAGTCCTGACATAAAATATAAAGTTATGCCTGCTAGATGCAAGCTTCGTGATCTATAACCTGTGAATCCCTGTGATCATAACACAAAAGTCTCCACCACAGTGGCAAAATGAAGGGCAAAATGCCATCCAAAACCCAGACAGCTTTTCACCAGGAACGTATGGTATTCGCAGGCATTTTCAGGTACCTTGAGACATAAACCAGGAAACAAAAATTATTTCCTAATGACCTGTGGCCTAATGACACACGCAAAAAATATAACCCACGATAGCCTGCAGTTCTGAGAACCCCCACCTGCACTCACATAGGTTAAAATACCCATTTCTTCCACTTTCCCATTCTAAAATAATGGTTAAGCGTTATTTGGTTAACTCTGGCTGCCCTGASTACGAGTCCTAGTCCCTGACATGATACCAGAGTTCAACATGGCAGGACAAAGGAGAGTTCCCATCACATTGCTATCAATGATTTACTCCTTCTCAAACTTTAAAAACAAAAACAAAAGTCATTTTCTTTATGAGTCCAGATTGGGTGAATTTCAGCCAACATGTGATTTTTTTTCAAAGCTCCAAAAAAAAAAMCAAGCCATTGGTTGCAACTGAAGCATGTAACTATCATTCTGGTGGTTGCACCTGCTCTTGTCATCACAGAGAGTGTGCCACATTAAATGAACCTACAGTATGTACTAAATGCCTATCCTTGGACATTTTAGGAACACAAGCATCATTCAGTGAACGGCAGCGGCTGCCCGCTCTCGGCAAAGTGCATCGGAAGAAAAATTCTGTCGCGTTAGCATAATCACCAGTGAGAATTATGAGCAGAATCTGGCCTTGCACATTGTTATTTACAGCAAATCCATTTCCAGTTATTGCCAGCTCAGCAGTGGAAACCCCACCTTTCTGTGAGGATCAGACTSTCCTCCAATATGGTTGGCCTAATAAACTGAAACCAAGGTGGAAAAAAAAATGGCTTTGGGCTCCCAAGGAAAGCGAAGAGCTGCTTTCCAGGAAATCACCCACTTCGATGGTGAAGGTCCTGAATCAGGATTAGCTTATTCAAGGATGTAGTAAAACCTCCCACAGATATTCCTCTATAAAAACTCATGGAAAATTCATGATGTGACAATTACAGCTTCCCATTTCCTTGCCATTTTTTTCCACTGCACACTAGACAACAGTCACTTAACTCACACTAAGTCCTGATGATGTTATACTGTCCTCATGCTAGTCAGCAAAACAAAAGCCACAGTGGTTTAAGCAGTAACACTCATGTGTCTGTTTGAACAAAATCCATTCAAATAATCAAACACTTACTAGGAGCYACTGAAAAACACAATTAAGGTAAAATGTATTAATAAATGTTTAATACTTACACTTTTTTTTTAGTCTTCTCAAGCTGAGAACCAATCTAATTTTATCTGATATTAAATTTTTATAACCAGGTGGTGGGAAAGCTTTACTAATTCTGCGMGAGAGAGATCCTGCTTTACATGCTAACCATGTGGTAACTCTTAAGGTTGTATCTATTAGCTACAAACTATCTTAAAATTGCAAAAGGGTAACTGAAACAACACTAGTTTTCAACTATGTTTCAGTCTAAAATAATGGATTAATCTATATGTAGTCTCTAATTTTCACCCAGGGACATTCTAGCAGGCTCTGGCAAAATCTTCACAGTAGGTAATCTACTTGGGCCTTGAAAAATAAAATAGCACACTTAGCATTCATTTAAGAAGAAACCCAGTCTTTATAATTCTACTTCTTTAGAAAAAAAGTCCCAAAATAGTGCCCCCAAAGCAATTACTCCAACTCGCAGCTAGCAGACTTGATGCAGACCTGCCCCGGGCTGCGTTCGGCTCTTGCAAAATGGCAGAGCAGAGCAAACAAGGAGCGGGCAGATTATCTGTGCCGCAACGTGCTGCTTGACTCGCTTCACTCCCCAGCGTGCAGATGATGCTCCCTGGCTGGGGAGAACACCCAGCAGAGCAGAGCAGAGCAAAGGCAGCCTCACTGACCTGTGTGCTGCCTCCGGTGCTTGGTGAGGGCATGGCGGGTCCCGCCGGCAAAGCCGCAGAGGTCACACAGGAACGACTTCTCGCCTGTTGCAACAATAAACAGATGAGGGACTGCGGAGGTCACAGATCATTAAAACATATCTATCAAGGCTTTCAGGGTTACTAATTCCTCCAATCAAATGTTTCCATGTAAATATGTCAAATGGGAATGAAATTACCACTGCGGTTTATTGACTGTGATAAAATCTGAAAAGCACCACTGAACATAATTACATACTTGTCAGACCCATAAAAATTAGCTTTATTATCAATGGAATGGTTTTGTACAACTTCATTTCTGTTAGATGTCTTCCAGATGGGGCTGCTTTATGCACTTGAACAGTTTTTATGCATATCCTGATTTTTTACAATTCCCATACATCTGGCCTTTCTGTGCTGAGTAAAGATTGCCTGGAAAAAAAAGTTAATATAGTGTATATATGATTCTGCTTAAATAAAATATATTGAATTTACTAACAAATTAAGGTTACTGAGAAATTTTCAACAGACCAGATCACGGTCATCTTTAGTTACCTTCTACTTATTAATAACTATTATTTTTTTTTTCCTGGAATATGCTGGAGAGCCCAGGCAACAATAAAAGCCACTTTATTCAGTACCAGTGGCAATTCGGTACTGTTTATGTTTGTAAAACTTTCATGGCATAAAGAAAGCAGGTCTGGGGATTGCTGCCGCAATTGCAGCAGAACCTCRTACCGTTCATCTTCAAATGATAATTTTTCCTTCCGAACCGGTGGAACAGTTTGGGAGAGCTTGGCAAGCTCGCTACTCATTTAGAAGTGTGCAAGTGCTCCGGTTTGGGTATTGCTACACGGGCTCGGCTTTGGCCCCGTTGTTTATAGGCGCAATCTGCCGTCGCGCAGCCACGTTTCCACGCAGCGGGTGCTATCTGCACCCCACAGGCCCGCGCCGAGGGGGCTCTGCAGCAATGGGGCTCTTACAGCAAACACTCCGGCTGTAAGAGCTGACTGGGTTGAGGGGTCGGGTGCCGGGTTGCTGACAGCTCCCATGGAGCGGCCGCCAGGAGCCTCCGCGACGCTGCTCCCCACAGCATCCGCTACGCTACTGCGCGGCTCTTCCCAAAGGCCTCGCGCCCCACCTCAGCATTCCCGGGAGGAATGGCATCCCATGAGGATGGCGTTCCCACATGGAAGCAGGTTGGCTGCCCACGGGAGCCCTCGCTCCGGCCACRAGGAAGGCAGCTCCTCGGCCTCTCCAAAGGAGCCTCAACCGGTGCTAAAATGGTGTCCCGGAAACCCCGCTGGACCTCCAGCAGGGAGCCGGGCTCCGAGAGGCGGCTGGAACCTGCTAATTCACCTCATAAGCGGGCCAGGGCCACCTCTATGCACTGCTACTTCAAACACCCAAATCTGTGAAAAATGCACACTGAAATATTAGCTTTTTTTTTTTTTTTCTTTTTTTTTTTCTAAATTATGGTCCATGATATGAGAGGACTAGTCGCAGACAGCACCTAAAGTGCTGCAAAATATTTTTGGAATCTCCATTTTGATTAGGAACCAGTCCTGGCCATTTGTGATTATAACTAAATTAAAAAGCGAAACAGAAAAAGCGGAATAAAAACCCACTGTAACTAACACACTCTCACATTGGTTATCAGAGGCAAGCTAGTTTCTGTTTCATATGAAAAATGCATATGATGTATCAAAATCTGAATATTACCACCAATTTTTGGTCAATAATATCACTGCAGATGTAATACGGAAGTGTTGCATGAGATTTCTGCACAATCTCTTTTCTCCTTTATTTTTTGCACCAGGCGTTTCAGCATGTAGCACTTGAGTTCATCAAAATATCAAAGAACAGGAGTGGAAGGACCATAAACATGGCTTAATTATAATTAATTATTAATTAATCAATCAAAATCTTCCTAGCTAGCTGTAACACCTACCAGGCCAGCCTAAACCCCACAGGTTAGGCTAAGCGCAATTCCACGYCTCGCCAGGAGCCGTTCCCACCCTCGGCGCGTTGCTCACCCCGGCTCACACGGCGTGTTGGCCGCCCCGGCGCGGAGCCCGGCGCGGCGGAGCTGGGCGCCCACGGCGCTGACCAGGACGCAGGGCGCCCGCGGCCTCTCCTTGCTGGCCCGCTCACAGTTACCTTGCGGAAGAGCGGATGCAAACGTCCCAAAACCAAGTACTGGCTTTAGAACAGGGAAACCGGTACCTCCCACGAAAGGATTTGCCGGTTAAACACTCCGCGTTCACCTAGGCCWCATCCGGGAGCGCTCCTGCAGGGAGAGCTCTTGTGCAGGTCCCGAGGCTTTRGCCCAGGAGCACTAGGCTGATGGAGATTCAATCTCTGCTTTTCAAGCTCAGGGAAGGGGATGAYGCATTTTATTTTCTCCAAGATTCGCTTTCAGAAATGTTAATGAATTAATTACATATTTGTGTATGTATCACGGGATACGCAC